TGTCTCAAAAAAAAAAAAAAAAAAAAAAAAGAGCTAATGAACAATTGATGAAGAGAGGGATGAGAACAGAAAAAAAAGATTGATGAAGAGGCCCCAAGGCAAACTCGAAGATGAAGCAAGGAAGCAGCATCTGTGGTCTTTCCAAGAAATTACAACTGAGTGATGCACTATGGCTGCAAGGCAGGGGAGTGCTTTCTCTCAGCTGCCTGGTTCTCTCATTCTGAAGGACCAGTGGTAGTGGGGGCTGAGGAAGTACAGGCAGCATTGCAGATGGGCCCCTGGCCTAAGGGCTGGCAGGGAAAGTGGCTTGGAAAGATGTTCATAAAGAGGGTGTGTGGATGTCCAGTAGGTAGACATGGGCTACGGAGGCTGTGGATTCTGGAGCAGAAGGACACCTGGCCACTAAGGAGGCACGCCTAGGCCCAAAGCTGGACAGAACATGCAACGTCCACATCCTTCAGCTCCAAGCTGGCAGAGAGCAGCCACCATAAGTTCAGCCAAGCTTCCCAGCTCCATCCTGGACACAGGGCTACCTGGGCATGCTAGTCACCTGTGGGCACAAGTGAAGACCATGGCTATGCCAGGAAATCCCTAAGTCTCTTGATATGTCCAAAGCTCCTGAGCCAGATGGGCTGACTCATAACCATGTAACCTGGGAAAATGGCCTCCCCTGAAGTTGGGGTCAGCATGTAGGCACTGTAGGGGGTTGGGCATAGCTAGCTACAGCAAGGTTTGTCCTGGCCGACAGTGGAGGACATTCCTGTTATACTGGTCTGGCCAGCCCAGTGGCCCCTCCAAGCCAACACAGCCCCACGTAATCAGAAGGATGAATCTTCTCTGAGCCATGTATGGGTAAACACCACACACCCAGTGTCCATGCTTATAGAAGGCAAGGACAGGACGAGCCACCTCTGTGGTCTGAGGTCTTTTTGTCTCTGAACCTATGTGGCAGGTGGGTGGGCGCTCTCCCTCCACCTCACTGGTGGCAATGGGACCAGGAAGCAGGTTCTGTATTCCCTGCTGGCTGTCTCCATGCATACCACAAGCACATGCCCAGTGCAGGTAGTGCTTCTTCAGGGCCCATGGGTATATGTTCCTGCCCCATGCTGGCCACCCAGCACATGGCACTTACCAGCTAGCCTATAGGGCCGGCAGAGCCGGAGTCCAAGTGAGTATAGTGGCAGGGAATTGATGAGGTCCACCAGCAGATGGATCAGGCCCTGTACAGCAACCACCAGGAGCCGGAGCTGTAGCAGAGGCAGTGCTAAGGACCAGGCTACACCAAAATGCTCATGAGCAAAGCAGCCATGGACCAAGAGTGACAGGGGCTCTAGGGTCCTGGAAGAATGCACAGAGCCTGACCTGGGCCCTCAAACGAAAGGCCCAAAAACCTAGGAGGTTTGGGGAAGACTGAACCTTATACTAGGACAGAGCTGGGGCCAAGGAGGAGACTGTACAGCTGACAGTACCCCACACAGAGTGACGGAGGACTAGAAGGCCTGGGCCTCTGGGTGCCATTCCCCTCCTGCTACCCGCCCCTGCACCTGGCACCAAGGAGGCCTCTGTGACCCACTCACTATGGGTTCTACTCCCATGCACCCAGCCTCCTGTTCTAGAGCAACGAGTGGTATGCCCCCCAGGGTAGGACCCTGCCAACTCCAGACCCCAGAACACTGCCCAGAGGGTCCAAGCCACAGCCAGCACACTCCATGCAGACATGCTCAACTCACCAGGGTGAATACCAGGTAGTACAGGGCTGTGGTGGGCAGGAGGAAGATGAGGATGGTGAAGAGCAGAGTCCCAATAAAAAGCTGTGGAGAGAGGGCCCAACACGCCTGACATCAGTAGGACTCCCACAGCAGCACTGCAGCCCTGCCTGTCATGCCCCACCCTGCCCCACCATTATGTCCCATCCCATAATTAGGGCTTTCTGACAGCATTTACCAGGAAGGCCATGTCCACCCTGCCCTATGAACTTGGTAACTATAGGCAAGATGGATAGGGGGTCAGACCAGTAGGATATGAGCCCTGTACATTGTCACAGACAAAACACCCTGGATGGTAGTGCCCAGCGGATATGTGTCGAGCACACCAATAGAATCACCAAAGCCAGTTTCTGTGCTAGGTCACTCCCAGGGTTTGTATCCCCTGCATCCAGGTCCCCTCCAGTCTCTGTGTTGGGTCACTCCTAGTGCCTGTATCTGGGTCACCTCCAGTCTCTGTGCCTGGGTCTGGAGCCCAAGGGCCCTTCTTCCCTCCAGGGAATGTTTGTACCATCTTAGCCCCTTGGTATGCCTTCCCAGACTCTAGATCTGCACTCAGAGCCTGCAGTGGGCAGAGTGAACTGTAGAACAGGAGCTACAGAGGCCAAGCAGCCACAATGGCCAGGCCCACAGAGCTGCCAGCAGGACTGGGGCTGGAGGCAGGCAGCTGTGCAGGTACGCTGACTAACCAAAGCTGAGTACACCTCCAACCATAAACCCTGCCTGGTACCTGGTCCAGGTCATAGGAGCAAGAATCCACCCGCTGGCGCAGAACATTCCACTTCTTCCCCCGAAACAGACGCCAGAGTGAGGACAGTCCACAGATCTTCAAACAGTACAGCCTGCAGGATGCCAGTGCTGTCAGGGCCAGACCAAAGGCCCCCTCCCACACTGGCCTCTCACCTGCTCAGCCCTAGAGCCTATTGTCACCCAGGACTGGGAGGGCTGCACTAGGCCAGTCCCCACAAGTGAGGAAGCACATGCCCACCTGGCGCCATAGACATAGAAGCAGTAGATGTGGAAGGTGAGGAGGGCAATGATGTCCGAGAGGATGGACAAGGCGACCGTCAGGCCCAAGCAGGCTGAGAGGCCCACATGCCACAGGATGCGCTCGATGAAGGGGGACATAAGGTGGATGTAGCCTGGAAGAGTGGAGGTCAGTTCTGAGGGGGGCCCATCATGGTCCCAGGACCCTCCACTCCTCACTGAGGATAGGAACTGTGAGTACACAGGCCCCAGCCTTCATCCCAGGCAGCTGGCCAGCACAGCAGGCTGCACAGGACACAGGAAGGCAGGAGAGGGGGCCTTGGACAGACCTGAGCCCACTGTCCTCTTTTGCCAGTGTCAGGCCTGCCTCACCCTGCCCATTGGGCACTCACTGATCCACAGGTGGATGTGGTACAGGAAAAAGCGGCCCAGCACCTGGTCCAGCGCCCGGTTCATCTTGAGCCCAGCAGGTGCGCCCATCAGCCACTGCAGCAAGTGCTGGAGCTCCTCGGCTACATGCTGCAAGGACACAGGAAGGCAGATTCAGAGGGGTGGGGCCAAGGTCAGTGCCTGCATCTCCCTGAGATTGTCTGTAACTGGGGCTCCCACACAGGCTAGTCTGTCTAGGCAGGGCAAGGGCAGACTGGGCTTCCTTCCTCAATCTGTCTGGATGACTACGTCCCAACATGGACAGGCAGTATTTTCCAGACATGTCTGGCCATAGATCTCTCTTCACAGATGGCTTCCGGGATTCAAGTCTGAGGGGACTATAGTCTGATGCCTCTTCCAGAAGGCTAAAGTGGCACACCTAGCAGACTGACACTTTGCCCCTGGCCTGGTGTGCCTCATGGGCGTCAACCTCCACACAAGAGTGTCATCCTCTCTCCCATCTCACCACCCCAGGGCCAATGGACCCACAGGAGCCCTTAGCCCCAAATTCCTAGACATAGCTGAAGCTGGACAGACTGGCCCACCTCAAGTGCTGCAGGGGAGCCTGTGCCACACTAGCACCTCTGCCACAGGCCCTTTTTGCTACCTGTCACCAGAGAGAAGGACAGTGCCAACTAAGGACATTCAAGAGAAAGCAGAGAAGCTTGGTCCTGGCTACCCTAAAATGAAAGCCAGTGTCCAGCTATGCCACCTAGTGGAAAGGCCCTGAGGGTCCCTTGGCCTGCTACCAGTGCAAGGCTACAGAAGCAAAACCTCTGGCCCATGTGCCCATCACAGAGCACTCTTCTACCTCAACTGCACCAGCACTAACAAGGAGAATAGAATGTTCTTTATAAATAGAGCTTATTTAATATTTAAAGGAAAAGAGCTTGGCAGCAGGAAGAGACTTTCATTTCTAAATTAAATATTTATATTTCAGAGCAATTTTGCAAAAGGGAGGTCTAGGATGAAGCCAGTCAAGGAGAATGTGGATTTCACGAGTGAAGCAGCTGAGCCCTTCCCCTGCCCCTGCCTTCCCTTCCCCATGTTCTATAGCCTGGACACTGATGCAGAGCCACCCAACCAAGCCTCAGGATCCCCCTAGAGGCCCAAGCATGGGCTGAAGGGCTGCCCTAAACAGGAACATAAGCTCCTAATGGAACAGACAGGAACTGCAGAAGGGAGACAGAGCAGATGAAGGCAGGAAGGCAGCATGGAATTGTGGCAAGGTGGATGCTGGAAGCAAGAAGACAGAAGAGGAGGGCAGGGTTGCCCCCTGCAGGACTTGAGGTGGGCCAGTCTGTCCAGAACATGGCACAGATGTATAGGAGAAGGCTAGGAGCACAGGAAACAATCATAGAATCAATGCTGGAAGTACATGATCCACCCTCTGGTGGGAACTATGAGCTCGCCTGCACATGGACAGCTCTGTAGTTAGGGGAGGTTCCTGTGACACTCACTCTGCAGAGGGCCTTGGAGTCAGGAGAGGACTGATCATGGGTGGGGAAGGCAACAGAAACATCATGGCATTGGCTCCCAGGGAAAAAGGCACCTAACAAGACCTGCCCTACACGGCCCTCAGGCTCCCAGGGAACCTACTCTGGGTCAGGCATGAGGGCTCCTATCCTAAAGGCCCATGTCTCCAGAGTGTGAAAAGCTAAGGGCAGGCTTTGGACACTCCTGGGAAGCTGGGCTCCACCCCAACACTTACATCAGCCGCAGGAACCAGGGCATCAGCCAGCTGCCCAATTCGGTTCTTTCCATGGAGCCAGGATAGCAGTGCAAGGCCGAGGGCCACGTCCAGGAGCATAGAGACGAGCATGTTGGCCTTCCTGGAAGGGAGGGCCAGCCAGAGCAGGTGTGAGGCAGCCAGCAGCAGCCTGGGGCCTGGCCAGAGGGATCAGCAAGATAGGCCTGGAGCAGAGTGGGGATGGGGTAGGGGCTTGGCCTGTTACATATCCAACCTCATCAGCTGGGCGGGGTTCTCAGCCTTCTGCACGCTGAAGACTAGTGTGAGGTGGTCCAGACGGTGCCGGAGCTGCTCACAGGTAGAGAGCTTGCTCCCCAGGAAGGACAGAGGCCACAGTCTGAAAAGCCTGCCGAGGAGGAATGGGGAGACTGTTGCTGGGTTCAGCCCTTGATGAGTCCTCCTGCCTGCCAATGCCCCTCCCCATATAGAGAGGGAGGGCTGGGCTAGGCAAGGCCCTAGGCCCCCCACACTGATGGAGAGCTGCATTCCTGAACTCAGCAGCACATGGAAGCATACAAGAGGGGTGGCAGTGGGGGGCAGCTATCCTCACTGTGCCAGCACCTAACACAGAACCTGATCTTCTAACAGTGCAGACCCAAGCCTACCTGCAGACTCCAAACCAAGGTGGCTCCCCAAAAGTGGTAAAAGCATAACCTCCCACCCAGTCAGTGCCTTGCCCTGATGGTGGTAAGCCCAGAAGATTCATCAAGGCTCTCCCAACTTCCCAATGAGACTAGATTTCACAAAAGCAAAGGAATCACTGAGATCCTTCTGTAGACTTTTAGAGGCTAAGAGGAGATGTTCAAAAGCAAAAGTAGAAAAAAGTACCCAACTGCAGCTCTGCTATGCTCAGAGCCATCTTTCCATTCAGAGGAGTTGCTGGAAGCAGGAGGCACCTAAAGGACTCATAGAGGCCAGGAGTGCTAACTCATGCCTATAATCTCGGCCGCTTAGGAAGCCAAGGTGGGAAGACTTCTTTTTTTTTTTTTTTTTTTTGAGACAGAGCCT